TTTTTTTTTTTTTTTTTTGGTATTTTCGAGACAGGGTTTCTCTGTATTGCTTTGGAGCCTATCTTGGAACTTGCTCTGTAGACCAGGCTGGCCTCGAACTCACAGAGATAGCCTGTCTCTGCCTCCCGAGTGCTGGGATTAAAGGCGTGTGCCACCAACGCCCTGCTTAACAACAAATTTTTAACAGACAATATTAACTGTACTTTGATTTAGAACTCCATTATTTTTGCAGAATTATCTTAATTACATATGTACATATATATATATATATATATATATATATATTTACCTTAAATGTATACAATGAATAAAATTACACACACACACACACACCCACACACACACACACACACAGTTAGGAAAAAGTGACTACTCAGAAATCAGCTGGCTTTACACACACAGTACTTAGGTCTCAGAACGTTTCCAAGCCTCTCACCTTGCTAGCATGCTGGCAGAATGCTGGAACGGCTATCATCTGACTCACAAAGTTGAGATATGCTGCAACCAGTGCCATGATTCCACAGCGATGAAACATTGACAAGTTATCTTCATTGACAATTGCACTGTCCTTCAGTAGAAGATAAACACATTTGAAAGACCAAGTTCTCACACTCCCTCAGCATATTCTCCACAATTACACTGGAAAACTGAAGACAGCTTGGACGGCTGACAAAAACACATGGTGTGTGTGTGTGTGTGTGTGTGTGTGTGTGTGTGTGTGTGTGTGTGTGTGTGTACGTGTGGGTCACTATAACTGAATATATAACCAAAAACCTTGCTAATCAAAATTCACGTTCTTGAATAATCAGACCAAACCATAAGTGATAATTGTGCTTCCCTAAAAGAAAGTTTTCTTCAGTGGGAGTTAGAAAAGCATACCTGTAAAGCAATGGCCAATCGAATGAGGTCAATGACCACCTCTTCATTGGCTAGTTCGATGGTGATAAGAGCCAGCGATGTGTAAAGGAGCTCATAGTTCTTCTGAACGTTGTCTTCCTCTTTGCAGCCCAGATATATGTGTCTGTACAGCTGCTGCCCATTCTGAAAGACACAGAGAAAGGTACTTTTGTTTGTTAACAATGGAGCATGAACCAGAGCAATGACCTCACAACGTGAATCAGTGTTCTCTAGTGTTTGTATTGTTTAAAGTTACTCCTGGGGAATCCCTGCTGTGGGCTGCCATAGCCCCATGAGCACTGCACAGCATGATGGGCGCACGTGCAAGCATGGTTGCAGCAGCGCTATTCACGGCATCCGGACAGGACTGGACCAAATGTCTGCTAACAAATAACTTGCATTATCTTAGAACACATATACTGTAATATCAACAATATAAGATGAATTGTAGCAAAATACCACTAAATTGAAAAATAAAACATACAAAAGAATATATGATTATGGCTTTTTTTCATTCAACATTCAAAAACTAACAAACTAGATAACATATCAATTCCAAACAGTGATTTCCTCTAAGAAAGAGTATGGACTTAGAAAAACAGACACATGGATGTTTTTGGTTATACTACTTTTCACTTTAAAATAAGTAAAATAACAATGAATGTGCATTTACATTTCACAATAAGCAGTAATTTTTTTCCTAAATTAACATGAGCCCCTTTGCAAGGTGAGGAACTGTGGCTGGGCTGTGGTGGGAAGCTGAATGGGAGCAGCTGTTTCGTACACGGCTCAGGAAGGGCTACGGCTTCCCTGACTGAAAATCAGCCTCAGCATCCAGGATGCTGCTAGGATCCGGACACTGCGAGGCACAAATGCCTGCCCGATAATCAGTGCTGGCTGATCTGCTTCTCTTCCACATAGGGATACAGAGCACAGTTTTTCCTTTTACATTTTTATAGAAATTTCTGCAAATCGACAGAGAAGGTATCATAAACAAAACTGTAGTGGCATCTTGCCTTGCCAGTGAACTTGTGGTGGTGGCCACACCCCTTGGGTGTGGTTTCAGGTTCAGCTGTGACCCATTATAAGGCAGAGGAGGAGCTGGCTCTCTCTCTCTCTCTCTCTCTCCCTCCCCCTCACACGACCCCCCACACACCCAACCTCCTCTCTCTCTCTCTCTCTCTCTCTCTCTCTCTCTCGGGTTGTGGAGAGCATCAGAAGGGCAGAGACTGTATCTCCTGGAGCAAGAAGGCCGAGGCGGTTGTTATTTACTGTTATCTGTGTAAGTGCTTCCCTAATAAACACCTAATTATCATCTATCTTGGGTCTGGTGGACTCATTTAAGCCCCGCCTTCACAAAATAAATGAAAAGGTAAATGAAAGAATATGACAAACTATCAAAACAAATGTCAAGAAAGGAAAAATGTGAATGGACTGTTTCTAAATTAGATACAATTAAGAATGCTTTACACTAAAGAACCCAGCAGGCTGTGTTTCTATGTGCTGTGTGTGTGTGCATGAATTTGCAAGTAAGAGGACGGGACAACAGGAGCTGGAGCAGGAGAGGGAGTGCTAGAAATGACATAAATACAGCACTGTGCATGAAATACAAAAAAAAAAAAAAAA